ACAAAGGACAACGAAGAGAATATCCTCATCTTCAAGACTCGTGAAAGTGAGCCTATTCAACATCACAACCCTTAAGGTTGTGATCGCTATATTTGCGGAGTGCGAGAGGTGAGATCTTTCCAATATATATATATTTCACATCGACGGTATTCTCCCTCGTGGTAACGCCACGTGGTGCATTCTTATTGTATAATCAAGTAACATCCAGGGTTTTTATGCCGCAAGGCTTTTCCCTGACGAGCCAATAAAAAAGGCATTGTTYCTTTGGTTGGCTCAACCACGTGTTTTATTTTACACCTTAACCTAACCCTTTATTCTCCACTTCATAGCATAAACAAATTGCCAGAGGACTCTTAATTGAGGAATTTCGGCCATAACAACCTCTAAAATATTAAGAGTAAGTAACGTACTTTCCTGAGAGGTAACGTTCTAAGATGGATTTTACACTACAAGATTTATTTATAAACTTTTGCTCTCTCATCTTGTTCTTCATGATTAATGAGAATTTTGAGCTTTTATATTTTTATTTTTGACCTGAAACAAACATTGTCTCAGATCGGGTTTCAGGTATGATGGTATGATAAAACATAGCCTGTTTTAAAACCACCAATTACTATGTGGTATGGTATACCACAGTAATCTATACTATAGCACAAATAGAAATCTTAGCTTTAAGAAAGAAGTGAAGAATTTAAATTCCTAGGAGAAACACTCTTTTATATATAGACTAGTTTTATATAATTTTTTATCTAGAATTCTGCTAAGCCCATATTATAATTTTAAATTTTATTTATGTGGATGACCCTACAGAAACTCAGAAAAAATGTCATTTAAATAAATTTTAAGTTATACAAAACGTCAGTAAATTAATTTTAACTCTTTACTTTGATTATGCTTAAATTTATCGTTCTAATTGAAATTTTTTACACTATATTACTTTTTGCCTAGGAAAAGAAAAATTTAATTAAAATACAGCAAAAATAATTAATTAAAATTATATCATAGTTTTACGTAAAAGCAGATTTTTAGACTGAAGGATTATTTTCATATTACTAGCTAGGTAAAAGTACGTACTATAAAATGTAAACTGTGAGTTGTTAAATTTAATCTATTTTCAAAAGAAAAATCTAGTTAAAAAACACATAAAGATACCTTAAATTAAAAAAACTTTAATTTATGACTTATAAGTACTCATTTTTTTAAAAAAGATAATTTTTTTTTTAGAAAGTGTATTGATCAAAAGAAAAAATCTTCTTTCTTCTAAAAAAAACAGTCTTTACGATGCATTTTAATTAAATACATCAGGTAGACGGATTTATTTCAGAAGTACGTCATAAAATTAGATTATTTTATTAGCATTTCAATTTTTTTTATGAAGGTTATTTTTGTTCTTTTACCATTTTTATTGTCGATTGAAAAAGGTGCTACACTAGAAAATACATGTGAAGACGTACCAGCTAAAGGTTGTGAAACAAAAGAAGGTATTTTACCAGAAGAGATAACAAGAGAAGAGAACAAATGTTACGTTCCTACTGAGGAAGATAAAGGTTACATTCCCACTGAGGAAGATAAAGGTTTTGTTCCTACGGAAGGAGATTATTCTGAGAAGAAAATGAAGAAAAATTATTCTGACTTGATGTATGAATCATTTTCTTATCCTTATTTTACTCCTAACAAAGCTTCAAGTTGTATAATCTTATGATAAAATTAAAAATTTCTTGGTTTTTTTTCTTTTTTTAGAGGGGAGGTATGTAAAGAAAATATTTCTTACTAAAAATTTGGTGTAAGGCTATTTTTGAGAGTTTAAGTCTTAAGTGGAAGTAAAATTTTAACATTTAAGATGTATTCTTGATAGTTCTTGTTCTGAAACATTCTCTAATTTAGTAGGGTTTTACTTAGAATATACTTTTATGATGAGTTAAGAATGGTTGCGTGTGGGAAAGCACAAAAACCTAGCAGTCGATGGAGCTAGAAAAGCAAACCTCGGAAAAAAACTTGCAACCCTGATATTAAATGAGACGGTCGCTGCCTTGAGAGATTAATATTTCTTGCAACTAAGTAATAGAACTATGCATATAAACTTGCAACTAAAAATATGGAGATAAAGATAGTTTAAGTGGTTATTAATTACACATAGATTAGGTTCCACATTTTATGCACACTTAGAGCTTCAGTTGCAATAAAAAAGCGACGTTACCTTCCCTATACTGGACTGTAATGAAAAAAAATGTAAAATAAAAATAAAATTTTAATCATTTAACTCTGAAAGCAACGGTAACGTATTAAATCTTTTTCTTCCTTAAACTCTGAACTCCCATATAAATTGTAAAAGATACTCATTATTTAGGGATTGTTAAATTTCATGTTATTGACGTAAATATCTTTTTGTTAGTGACCAGAACCTTCAATTTTTTGAGTGTGAATGACAGGATCATCAGGATTAATAAAATTCAAGCTGTGGTATATTGCAAAATGAAAATAAACTTCCATTTCATCTAAAGAACTCTTATAAGGTATTATTTATCAGTTATAATTATACTTCCAAAATTACATTCTTGGAAATGACATTCGTTATAGTTTCTTATGTTCTGCCATAACAGAGAAAAATGCACATTTGGTATCTCTTTCTACGCTACCTACATACTACCGTCTAGAGAAATGTGCTCACCTATTGTATTAAGCTTTAAAATATAGACTTACACTATTTCTATATAGATAGGCTAATTGTCTTGATCATACCCACCAACTTTATCATTTAATGTGGTCAAAACATTGACAATAAATGTTCTAACTAAATTGCATACTCAGTTACTGTGTTTTTGCCGATTTTCAATTCATGGACAATATTTCTTCAAGTTTATAAAACAAGAAAAAGATCGAGAAGACACTGCAAGAAAAGAGTAGATTACATCTCAGCATACTTGGCCAGGTTAGCTTATAGAAAATATCTCTTAAGTTTAAATTATTCATGTACTTATAAATTAATCTAAAAATAGTTTTATTTAAGTCTCGATGAAATAAAAGAAGTGTTTTGTCTTTTTGATTTTGTAGATGTATATGGTCGGTTAAAATCCAAACTTACCTATTAATTTTTGAGCTTCTTTTGACATATCTCATATATGGATTGTTGAGTAAACTATTTAAAAATTTTAATAAATAACCCTTAACTTACAATATCTTTTATTTACATGGTGGAGAATTTAGGTATAAAAGTATATGATAGAGATGAGTCTAACCGAATATGTTGGGGTTGTAACATACCTAAGATACATTACGATAACATTCTTAATTGCTTGAGGTCTCTCAAGATAAGAAGAGATTTTAACAAATTATCTGATTTGGAAAAAATATATATGGTTTAAGAAAATGCTGATACGAGAGGATTGATATTTTATGAAGAATTTGTTAAAGACAAGGATATCAGTTATG